ATACTCACAATTATGGGGTTTATTAGGGAAGTAACAGGTTACAATTCAGGTTCAGGAATGCTTAGGACACAGGTCTTCCATCAGGACAGCCTCTTCTCAGCCTTGCCTGCAGGAATACCTCTCTCTGGCCCCTCAGCCTCTGCCCTGCTCAGGCACGTGTTACAAAGCTCTTTTAGCTCTCCCACTAAGTGCCCCAAGGCACACTACTCTGCCAGAAAGCTTCAGCCCAAAGGCACTCAGCTCTAGCTCCAGGTAGGCAAACCTACCTCCATCAAGTGCCTAGGGGCACCCTACTTGTCCAGCAAGCCTCCTGCCCAATGGTGTTCAGCTTTCTAGCTCTGTGCGTTGGGAAGCCCACCATGCTGTCTCCTGCTGGTCTTTCCTGCTGCCGTTTCTCTGCCACTGCTTCTCGCCACCTTCACTGTTACAACTGTCTCCTGGTTCCAGAAGCTTCTCAGTGCAGGGATCCCGGGTCCAACGGACATGCTCCGCTGTTAGTTTTTCTTCCTTGGCGGTGGTAAGAGCCTCTCTTCCCACCACTGGGTTGGCAAAACTGACCAATCCCCTTGTTAGGTTTCCATATACCTTATTAGCATGGTCCCACCCAATCATTTGGGTGGGAGTTACAAGACCATGGTGAGAAAGACCACACAAAAGTGATCCATTGCACCACAAGGGGATCGGTCAGTTTTGCCATCCCCTCTAGGCTTAAAGGGAGACACAGAAAGCGAGTGAGAGTGAGAGTGAGAGTGAGAGAGAGCAACAGAGAGCAAGAGCAAGTGAGAGTGAGAGTGAGCCAGAGCGAGAGAAGCTGTAACACAGAAGACAGAGAGAGGTAGCAGAACCAAGACAGAGAGGGAGAGCTGTAACACTGGAGATGGTAAGAAGTAGCAGCAGAGAAAGCAGAACCAGGATACCAGCAAATCAGCAGGAGATGGCACAGTGGGCTTCCTGGCCTACAGAGTGAGAGAACTGACTGCCTTCGGGCCGAGGATTACCAGCAGAGTGGATGCCTCTGGGCGCTTAGTGGCAGAGCTAAAAGAGCTTTGTAACAATTCCCCGAGCCAGGCTGAGGGGCCTAGGGCCAGAGATAGGCCTGTCTGCGGGCATGGCTCAGAAATGGCTGTTCTCATCTAACAGCTGTATCCTGAATTGTTTCTGATCCTGAATTGTAACCTGCTACTTCCCTAATGAACCCCATAATTGTGAGTAGTATCTGTAAGTTCTGTGGGGCTATTGTAACAAATTATCAAACCCAGCAGAGAAGTAGAGAGTGCTGTGGGAGGGATGGTTGTTGTCAGAATTGGTAAAAAGGTTAGAGGATGGAGGTATGCCTGACCTCTGCCTTATAGGAATCAGCCTTGGGCTGTTGATCTTGATTCTCCTTCCCCCTTGTAAAGTTAGAAGTCAGATGCTTCCCCCCATGCCATTTTTACATCCCCTGTGGGCTCTCCCCATGCTCTAAGAAATGCCTGACAATCTTAGCCGCAATCCTTGAAAAAAATAGTGTTTGAAGTCAAAGAATGAAATTGATATTTGATTTCTGAGTATACTGCCAGGCCCCAATTTGACCTCCAGTCCTGTACTGTATTTATTTAGGTTTTTTGGTCTGAAATACCAATTCTTTTGATAAGAAAAAATATGACAATTATACCTTATTAAACTGAAGAATATAAACTCATTAATTACTTCAAAGATTTTTGGAAATTTCTAACCTGATGCCAATTATTATTAATAGCACCAGGTTCTAAACTACAAATTCTGCTACTAGTGGTAATGTTTACTTGATCCTGCAAAATTAGAGGGAATAGTAAAATATAATTCGGTTGGCTAAGAGAGTAAGGCTAAAAGCTACGTTTAGAAGATCAGTCTTTCCATCCCTTCCAGGCTTTTTCAGTCAATACCTTAAAGTTCAATGTCCCTTTGAAATACTGCCAGGGAGAAGCAGGCATAACTTGTTGTTACCCAACATGGCTGTTCCCAGTTACAGTATCATGATTTTGCAAACACTATTTTCTTGAAACTCTGGAATCATTTGCTTAAATATGATTGCCAAGATAGCAGTTTTCACAGAAATTGAAAAGTTAACTGTCTAAAAAATACACATAAAGTTTCTGTACCTAGTTTTCCCTCTTTCTTATTCCTCTCAATTCCAAAATAACAATTGGCACAATATAGCTCTCAAATACCTGAGGGAAGGTATTCCTCACATACCCCTGGAGAAATACCATTGACGTGACCCTGTGAAGGTTACATAATTCCCAGGTAGAAAGAAGCAAGGAGTCATAAGAACCCAACATTAAGCACACATAAAACTGTTTTCTGGAAACTAGAGGACAAAAGTCTTCTATTTTGGAAACTCTTTTAATGTTTTATCACTATTATATTATTAAATGAAATTAAGAATCTTCCTGCTTACTTCCTGTTTTTAGAAGCCTACTTTAAAACCAGCAATTCTCAAAACTGGCATCTAGCTTAAGTAAGAAGAAAGTGAAAATACTCCAAAGCATTGCAAACTGCCTTTAAAAATCACCCTTCCCTTTAATTATTAGTTTCATACTGAAGTGAGAATCAGTGAACTCACTGTCTTTGGTATTTCCTCTTGATACCTAAAAGAAAATACCTTTTACATTCCTACTAGGTTCTTTCATATTGTTAATTTTTTAAATGTTTTGTGAAAATTTTCTCTAGCATTTCATTTGATAACATACTGGTTACTCAGACTCTGGGCTTCACATTAAAAAAAAAATTATGAGAATTAGAAAGTCATACGGTATAGTGCCAGAAGCACAGATCCAATTCTGACGCAGCTGTTTCCAGTTCTGGTTCTAAAGGTGCCTGCTGAAAATTAACCAACTATTTGTGTGATCAGAGCCCTTGTGGCGCAGTGGTTAAGAGCTTGGCTGCTAACAAAAAAGTCAGCAGTTCGAATCCACCAGCTACTCCTTGGAAACCCTATCCGGCAGTTCTACCCTGTCCTATAGGGTTGCTATGCGTCAGAATCGAGTCGATGGCAAGGGGTTTGGGTTTTTTTGGTTTATTTGTGTGATCTCAAGCAAGTCATTTAATTTCCCTGAATTTGTTTTCATATCTGTTAAGCAGATGGGCAAGCAGACTATCTAAGGACCCTGTTGCTTTTATTTTACAACAATGCAGGACAGAGATTAAGTGCTGGCTTTGAGAGTTCCAGCTGGGTCATTTATAAATGAGCAGAGCACCCCTGAATAAATTACTTAATCACTCCAAGACTTAGTCAACTCGTTTGAGAAGAGTGAACACAAATATATACCTTAATGTTTTACATATGTATGTGTGTATATACACGTACATATATATATACATATGTATATATATATCTTAGCAGAACACCCACCAAACTTTAATTGCTCAGTAAATAAAATTATCTCCTTGTGTAGATTCAACAAAATAATTATAAAATTTCTCCTTGTCAGTTTCTTTAACTGTAAAATGGGGTAGTAGGATCAGATAAAAATTCTGCTCAAAGATGTAAGATTAAATATTCACAATAGGTGGCCAAAGATCAGAGGCTGGGGAAGAAAGCTGATAATCTCCACCAACTTTGCCTTTTTCTTGAGTGATCACCACAGGCATTTTAAGACAAACTACCATCTTCCTAGCTCCAACTTAGTGCCCTACTTTTGTCCTTGCAGAGCATGTGACAGAACTTGTATTGGTTTTTAAGTTAAAGGAAGAATTCGCAGATTTCATGGCTTTTACTAAGATTGCATACAACCAAAAGATCTAGGATTTCCCTTTGCTCCCCAACACCCAAGGTGTCCCCTATTCTGGACTTTCCCAACTGGTTTTTCTTAAACCTGAGTGCAGCATTTTAGTGCTACATATGTCATGTTAATTTCAGTACCTAGTTACAGTAAAGAAAAAAAAAACTTCAGAATGTGAATCCGTCATAAAACACGTTAGTAAACCTATAGTCACTCAGTACTGGGATCCTTGGTGGTTTTTATTTTCTCCTTTTTCGCTTATCTATTTCACACAAAGAGCATGCATTACTTGTGTGGCAAGCTAAAAAAATAACCTAAAAAATAAATAAACCTGGTTAGTGTAACTGCAATTTTAATAAGCATGTTCTTCTGTTAACTCCTTAACTAAAAAATGGTGAGGAGGGGACCGACTACTGAATCCTTCCATTAACGATCTCCCTGTACGTTCCAAAGATTAGAACCAAAGCAAGTTTCCACACAGAATGAAGAGAAAAACGTTAAGACTCAGACCACTCCTAACTCCAGTGACCGGGTGAAGTAGCATGAGGCAATATAGCATAGTAATTAAGAGTTTCCATGTGATTCCCGGTTCAACCTGCAACAAATGACCTAATTTCTCTGAGCCTCAGTTTCCTTACCTGTAAAGTGGGGGATAATGATTAATACCTCCTATCTCATCAGGTTGTTTCAAGGATAAAATACAAAAATGCATATAAAAGGCCTAGCGAAGTGTCCAATAAGGGCTCAATAAACACTATTACTGCAATCGCTTCGCCTGAAACTTTAGTGTGGAGTGCCTGGAGAAAAACAAGGGACCTGTGACAAGCCGGGAACTTTAACGTATTTTCCACCGAGTCAGGGTTGCTCGTGAAATCAGTCCAATCAACCGCAAGGCACCGTGCTGCAGCCACACTGTAAAACACTCCACCATCGGAGAGTCGGAGGGTTTGGGGTCCCTCCAGCCCAAGGCTGCTTTAAAAGCTCCGCGACGCGGAGGTGAGGTCCGTGCTGGTCCTGTCAAGCCAGCGTTGCCACTGCAACCGCTACAGGTTCCTCACACTGGGTGCCACCTCTTCTGGCTAACCCGGAAGTCCACATAGGGGAGGCCAACTGACCGTCCCTGAGGTGTCCAGCTTCTACTTCTCGGCGACTCCCCCCAAGGGCAAGCTTCAGGAAAAAGGTTACAGTCTCGGCAACGCCAGCCACCGGACCCCCTCCCCAGATCCTTCCGGTGTCCGTCGCCCTTTAACACCGGAAGTGGGCGGGAGAGGAAGGGGCTGGTGATGCTGGAACAAACATGGCTGCCTCGGTGCTCTTCTGCTCCTCGGGCTTTCGCTGTTCTCCGCTAGCCGCGAGCCTCCGGCTGCTCCGGCTGCTGGGTCTACTGCAGCTGCTGGCCGAGCCTGGCCTGGGCCGCGTTCACCACTTGGCGCTTAAGGTAAGGCGGGGCCAGGGGCCACAGGCTGAGGCCGCTTCCCTGGGCTGGGGGCAACTTTGGCTCATCTGGGGCCTCCGAGCGATTAGACTACCCCCTTGCCCTTGACCCTCTGCGATGGCAAGGACTGGACGGCTCTGGGCAGTACAGGTATCATCAAGCAGTCTGGAGAGGGCAGACAGATTCGAGCTTAAGGAGGGGGAGTGGGCTGAACTGCGGCGTAACCCCGAAGGACTCCGGAGGCCGCGCTTCCCTAGTTACTCGCTGACAGTAACCTGCTCCTTCTCCCGTCTGTCTTCCAATTTTTATCTCTGACTTCCCTTGTCCGTGTTCTTCGCTCTTCTGTTTCCCTGTGCCTGTCGGTTTGAAGGTACTCGGAACCTTGGCCTCAGTTTCCTCGCTCGACTTAGAACGTTCTCCAGACTGAACAAAGCGGGAATCTCCACAAGGAAATTCAAATCTCGCTTAAAACACATGACCGAATTTAAAACCAGCATTAAAAATATGTTTCTAGTTAGGGGGCTGCCTTTTTCTTCCTCGCTCCCGTAATTTTTTGTCTAGAGAAGAGATAGATACTAGACCTAGATAAACGATAGACCTAGAATGATCCCCTGGGTCTAACTCGCAGCTAAAAGTCCTGTAAGGCTAAAACGTGCCTCCAGGCGGTTCAGGAGGTTAATATGTCTGGGTAATAAAAAAATCGTTATGACTCAAAGCCTTGTACATTTTTTTCATAATATACGATTTTTTAATACATTGTGAGCTTTTAGAAAGTTTGTGTGGTAAAACACATTGCTTTCATAAACCATGAAGCATAGGTATTTTGTGACCGTAGAGTTTAAGGAATACAGGATCTGAATTAAAAGCCCTGGCCAGAAAACATCATACTTATGGGTATCAGCTTTTGTTGTTTGTAAATAAAAATTATACTGGTTAACACTGACTGCTCTGACAAGGATCACAACAGAGGGTCCTGGACAGAGCTGGAGAAAAATGTAGAACAAAATTTTAACTCACAAAAATAGACCAGACTTACTGGCCTGACAGAGACTGGTGAAACCCTGAGAGTATGGCCCCCGGACACCCTTTTAGCTCAGTACTGAAGTCACTCCCGAGGTTCACCCTTCAGCCAAAGATTAGACAGCCCTATAAAACAAAACGAGACTAATGGGGCACAGCAGCCCAGGGACAAGGAATAGAAGGCAGGAGGGGACAGGAAAGCTGGTAATAGGAAATCCACGGTTGAGAAGGGAGAGTATTGACATGTCGTGGGGTTGTTAATCAATGTCATTAAACAATATGTGTACTAACTGTTTAATGAGAAACTGTTCTGTAAACTTTCACCTAAAGTACAATTAAAAAAAAAAATTATCCTGGTTAAAATGGTTCTTAACTCTCAGAGGATAGGTGAGTCCTGGATCTTTTTGATGATCTGGAAACTGTAGAACCTCTCCCCAGAGAAGTGCATGTAGAAATGCAGGAAAAACTTTGTTGGACTTTCTGGGCCCCCAGGTTTATGACCTCAGGTTAAGAATTCCTGGTCTTTAAAACTGTTTCATTTTATAGTTTAGGATTCTGAATCTTAGATTATGGGCTGAGTTCATACAGCTTATAAATTAGTGACAAAGCTAGTAGTAGGACACACAAGGGCCATGTCTTCTGGCTCCCAGTTGGGGCTCTTTGTATATTTCTAGAATTAAAATGCCAGATGGCCAACATCATTAGGTTAATGCTGGCAGTATTGGCGTCTGTGGGAAAGTATACTAACTTTAGTGGAGCAAACTGGAATTGCTGTAATTCTGGCGAATGATTTTTCGCTGTTGTGCTAAATTACTTACTATTTTTCTTCTTTGCCATATGTTTTATAAATTCTGTGATGCTTTTTCCGTAATCAGTATTATAATTGTTTCTTTTCTCTCAAAATAAACATTCTAACTTCTTGCCCAAGGAAATGGAAATCACGTGAAGAGAGCCTGTCATAGCAGCAACATTAGATTGTCTTGTTTGTCTTGAGACTAAGAAATATAGGAGACTGGAGCAGGTTATAAACCCAGACTGGCAAGAATAACATGAAGAGATCACTGGGAACCAGAAATATGCATTGATCTTTTTATCATGGAGTATTTTGTACACAAAAGTAGACAGAATAGTGTAACAAGTCTCCTCTCCCCCCACTTGTTACCCAGCTCCAACAACCATCAGCCAGTGGCTAATTCTGCCTCATTTTCATCCCTGTCACTTCCCTCTTACCATTATTTTTATTAACTTTTAAACTTAGAAACGAGTCCTTTCATTTTTTAAATTCACTTTTCTTATCCCGTGCTACATTTTTAATTATTCTTCTGGTTTTCCCAGTCTCCTCATATCCCTTCTCTTAGGACCTTTTTCTAGATTTCTTAACTTTTAAAAAGTGCTGTATAGAGCTATAATTTACATACCATAAAATTCACCCATTTTAAGTGTATAACTCGATAATTGTTAGTAAATTTAATGAGTTATGCAACTATCACCACAATCCAGTAATAGAATATTTCCATTACCCCAATAAGGTCTCTTGTGCTGGTTTAGTTAATACCCATTTTTTTCTCCCAGCACCAAACCAGAAACCAAACTCTTTGCTGTCAAGTTGATTCCAACTCATAGCGACCCTATAGGACAGAATAGAAATGCCTCTTAGGGTTTCCAAGGTTGTAACCTTTACGGAAGCAGACTGTCACATCTTTCTCTTGCAGAACGGCTGGTGGATTTGAACTGCCAACCTTTTGGTTAACAGCCAAGCACTTAACCACTGTGCCACCAGGGTTCCTTCCATAAAGATTACAGCCTTGGAAACCCTACAGGGCACTTCTGCTCTGTCCTATAGGATTGCTATGAATCTGAATCAACTTGATGGCAGTGGGTTTGATTTTGGGTTACTCTTTATGGAAGCTGACTGCCGCATCCTTCTCCCTTGAAGCGACTGGTGGGTTCGAACCACCCACCTTTCGGTTAGCAGCCAAGTGCTCCACCAGGGCATCTTCTCTCCCAGCACCAGGCAACCACTAATCTATGTTCTGTCTCTATAGATTTGCTCTTTCTGGACAAGGGTCTTTTGCGTCTGACTTTTGTCACTTAACGTTTTTGAGGTTCATTCATGTTGTAGCATGTATCAGTGTTTCATTCCTTTTTATTAACGAATAGTATTCCATTGTGTGGATATACCATAGTTTGTTTAGCCATTCACCAGCTGATGGCTGTTTGGGTTGTTTCCGCTTTTTGGCTATTACAAATAATGCTGCTGTGAACATTAACGTGCAGATCACTGTGTGGAAATATTTTTCATTTCTCTTGGCTAGATCCCTAGGAGTGGAGTGGAAAAGTGGCTAGATTTTGCTAGATTTTCCTTGTGGTGTAGTTAAATATATTCATCTATCCTTTGTATTTTCTTTAAGCTGGTAATTGGATCTAGAGGCTTGATCGTGTTTAGGTTTGATTATTCAAAAACCAGAAGCAAGACGGCTTCATAGTTCTGGCTTCTTTCATTAGGAAGCACACAGCATCTGATTGTCTCTCTTTTTGTGATGTTGGCAGCAGTTGATGCTCAGTGCTTACATTCCTGTGTGCATTAGGTATAAAAAACCAAACCCATTGCTGTCAAGTCAATTCCACGTCATAGTGACCCTATAGGACAGAGTAGAACTGCCGCATAGAGTTTCCAAGGAGCAGCTTGGTGGATTCAAACGGCCAACCTTTTGGTTAGCAGCCAAGCTCTTAACCACTGAGCCACCAGGGCTCCTTATTAGATATTTTAACCAAAAAAAAACAAAAAAAACAAATCCATTGCCATCAAGTCTATTCTGACTCATAGCGACCTTGTAGGACAGAGTAGAGCTGCTCCGTAGGGTTTCCAAGGAGCAGATGGTAGATTCGAACTGCCAACCTTTTGGTTAGCAGCCACAGCTCTTAAGCACTGTGCTACCAGGGCTCTTTATTAGGTATTAAAAAACAAAAACAAAAACAAAACCCATTGCTGTCGAGTTGATTCCGACTCATAGCAACCCTATAGGACAGAGTAGAGCTGCCCCATAGGGTTTCCAAGGAGCAGCTGGTAGATTCAGACTGTAGCTCTTAACCACTATGCCAACAGAGTTTCATTGTTAGGTATGTTGACCTTTAATTATGCTGTTTGGTGTCAAAATATAAGATTGTCTTGATTAAGCTATGTATTTTACTGTATAGTAGATCTTGTTATATTTCTCAAATATGGTGTATTAAGACAAATGCAAATCGTATAAAGTGTAAGCAAGTATCACATACTCAAGAAACATTTATAGATCCATGTACATTAGGAAGGACTCTACCCTCATGGAGTTTTCAGGCCAGTGAAGAAAACACATAGTCCCCCATATTCTGAGTACTATGAAGAATTCCCACTGTTGGGAAATTTGAGTATTTTAATAGTTATTGACTTCTTAGACTAAAGATATGGAACATAATTTAGCCTTTTCTGGATGGTAGGTGATTTTCATTCATTTATTCATTAAATATTTATTTTCTTACTCATAGCTTTTAACAAATGGTAATATTTGAATAACCATTGATGTTATTTAATAATCATTTTATAAGTCTTATCAATGAAATAAAAAGGATAAGCTGAGTTTTATTGTCTGACAAAGATTGTCTGAATATAGTTTTTATATTATGGACCTTTGTGTTAAAAATACAAAATCTTTTATGACTGATTCTAGCTTTTAGGAAGTAGCTGCATATGAGGCAGTAGCCAGGAAGTGTCCTGCTAAAGCTTTGGGGTCTTTGATTTAATTTGGACATTTCTTAAGTTAGGTACTTATTTTCATGATAATTATCCACACATTATAACTCAGATAATCAGAACTTCATACCAGCAGTGTAACAAGCACTACAGATCTTCCAATTGGAAGTTGGAATCCTGACTGCAGTTAAAGTGCTGTATAACTTTTGGGCTAGTCTAATCTCTTCACTCTTAGGATCTAGAGCAGTTAAGT